TAGCCTCTCTGCTCCTATGATGCTGCTTGGCCTGCTGTGTTCATCCAGCCCTGCACCTTGTTGTCTGCATATCCAGGCTCTTTGTTTACTGTCATAGCATCCATGCATAGTAACAGACTCAAAAGCAGGAGGCTTGTCTTGGTTGTCAGCAAGCCTCAGTTCAGTCAAGGGGGGAATAGACTTTGCTCAAGGGATCCAGCCCAAGACCAGCTTCTGATACCAGTCGTGGGCCTTAAAAATGGTCTATCAGCACTCAGTGTGTTCAGAGTCAGGATATTCTCTACGTATGAGGTGAGGAGCTGAATGTCAGACAGACCACCACCTGTCTTGCCTGTCTCTGCCCTAAGAGGCTGTTTTCCTGCTGGAATGTGAGAGAAGCAGTATTTAGATGAAAGTGGGTGACAAAGCTGTTGATGCAAGTAGGGAGGTGTCCTAAGTGAGAGGATAGGTGGCACCGAGAGCATGCTGACTTAGTGCTGTCATAGATAGGAGTGGGTGACATTGACTGAAAGGAGGTATTACAGGCTTAAATGAGAGTGCTAGAGCATGAGCCTTGGTGATGATGGATACAGTGACAAAGGTTGAATATGGAATTGAAGAGAAGATGGTGGCATTTATGTTGGCACAGTGATCCGAGCTACAACCATAGCGTCATCAGCAAACTTGTAAATGGAGTTGCTATGGAATTTGACCACTCAGTCATGTGTATATAAGGAGTATAACAGGGGCTGAGTACACAGCCTTGCAGGGCATCAGTGTTGATAATTATCACGGAGGAGGTGTTGTCACCTACCTTTATTGGCTGCAGTCTGTGGGTGAGGAAGTCAAGGATCCAGTGACAGAGGGGGGAGCAGACACCCAGGTGATGAATTTGTTTGGAGTTGTAGTGTTGAAGGCAGAACGGCAGTCAATAATTCGAAGCCTGACACAGGTATCTTTGTTGTCCAGATGTTCCAGAGATGAGTGTAGGGCAAGGACTTTTCAGATATTGTGATTTCCCGCATCCCCACCAATTTTGACAGCCTACCAGGCATTTAATGCTCCATAAAGTGTTAACTGGCTGGACATGCAACTGGGTACCCCTCACCCAGATGAACATCAAGCCTCAGAGAACGGCCAGCCAATCTGTTTAGCCAGCAGCTTTGTAGTCACAACAGTGTCAATGACAACAGTGGCCCTAACTGGGACCACAAGATGATCCCAGATTCCGAGTTCTGGAATCACAGAAATACAGAATTGTTATGGTACAGAAGGAGGCCATTCGACACATCGTATGAACACCAAGTCTCTGAGCATTGTGACTTACTGCCAACCTATGGACTTTTCCCCATAACCCTGCACAGTATTTAAATAGAATCTTGAATGCCTTAGCTGAACCTGCCTCCAGCACACTTCCTGGCAATACACCCCAAATTCAAACCACTTGCTATGAGAAATTTGTTTCCACCTCACATTTGTTTCTCTTAAAAATGACATTCAAACTCTGCCATCTGGTTCAAAAACAAAGTTGGTGGAAAAGCTCAGCAGATCTGGCAGCATCTGTGAAGTAAAAATCAGAGTTAACATTTCGGGTCCGGTGACCCTTCCTCAAAAGTGTTTTGAGTTCTGAGGAAGGGTCACCAGATCCAAAATGTTAACTCTGATTTTTTTTCTTCACAAATGCTGCCAGACCTGCTGAGCTTTTCCAGCAATTTTGTTTTCGTTCCTGATTTATAGCATCCACAGCTCTTTCGGTTTTTATCCGCCATCTGGTTCTTGATCTTTTACAAGTGGGAACATTTTCTCCCTATCTAGTCTGCCCTGACCCATCATTACTTTGAAAGCTTCTGTCAAATCTCCGCTCAGCCTTCTCTGCTCCAAGGATTAAAAGGCCCAACTCCTCCAATCTATTCTCATCATTAAAGTTTCTGATCCCAGGAATAGTTTTCCTAACTCTTTTCTGCATTCTTTCCATTGTATTCACATCTTTCCTAAAATATGACACCCAGGACTTAAAGGCAACATAACCTCTCTGCTCTTAGATTTAATAAGGGTTGTGGGAAAAAGGCAGGAAAGTTGGGTTGAGGATTTTCAGATCAACCATGATCTCAATGAATGCTCCTACATCTTATGGTTTTATATTGATGAAGCCTACAATTCTGTATGGTTTTTAAAAAGCCCTCTGCAACCTTTATTGAGTTTTGCACTCTTACTCCTAGATCTCCAAAACCAATTAAATACTGAAGTTTCACACTGGGCAGGGAACATGGGTCTTGAGGGAGCAGTGGGGTGAGGTGCACCCAATGTAGAAACAAGGGGTTTGAGGGATGTGCCTCCTCTCTATCGTGCTTGAAGCTGGAGCAAGATGACATGCCAGACTTTCTCCCTGCCACCAAGCTCCTTCTGGCCGGCTGGGCAAGAGACAGCAGTGAAGTGGCTAATAATGTCACTTGAGGACCTCAATTGGAGCAATGTGGATGGGTCCCCATAAAACTAAAGGCAGTTAAGGGGTGT